GGAAGACTCATTATAGTGAAAATGACAATCCCAGTACAGGTACCAAATTCATTTTCAAAGACTTATAAAAGGTAATTGGCAAGTTTACTTGGAGAGAAAAGAGCCCTCAAATAATCAAAGCACTTCTGAAAAATGAGAAAGAAGTGGGAAGGAAAGCACCCCCTGACCTCAATACCCAATACACAGCTGTAATAACCAAAAAGAGCATGGTCCTGGTGCAAGGACAGACACATAGGCTAATGGAATAGAATGATGAACCCAGAAATTAATCCATCTACTCATAGTCAGCTGATTTGACAAGGAAAAACAAAACCTATCAAATGGGGAAACAACAACCTTTTCAACAAATGGTGCTGGCAAAACTGGACTGCTACCTGCAGAAAGCTGAAGCAGGATGCATACCTCCCAACATACACAAAAATCACCTCTAGATGGATCAGAGACCTAGGGGTAAAGACCCAAACCACAAAGATCATAAGAGACAAAGTAGGACCAAGCTTAGTAGGCCCACCTCATAGTATAAAAAGGCTGAAAAATATCACCAGAAATACACAAGCAGGAGAGGATAAAATTGATGAATAGGACCTCCCAAAGATTAAATCCTTGTTCTCATCAAAAACATTTCCCAACAGAGTGAAAAGAAAACCTACTCACTGTGGAAAACATTTGACCATACCATTTCAGACAAGGGTCTCACATCAAAAGCTTACAGAATCCTACAGGGCCTTCACTAGAAAAAGACTGATAACACAATTACAAAATGGGCAAAAGACATGGAAAGAATTTTCACGAAGGAGGACATTTGGATGGCCAACAGACATATGAAAAAATGGTAAAAATCACTGGCAATAAGAGAGATACAAGTAAAAACCACAATGAGATCTCATCTCACCCCAGTAGCAGGGGCTTAGTTTAACAGGACAGCAAGGAATAACTATTAGAGGATATAGAGAGATAGGAATTCTTATACACTGATGGTGGGATTGTAAAATGGTACAACCACTCTGGAATGCAGACTGGCATTTCCTAAAAAACCTGAACACAGAAATTCCATTTGACCCAGCTATTCTACTGTTTGGAATATATTGTTGTTCTTATGTATCAAAGAGTGGTACTGACCCATAGCTGACCCTCCTTTCAGAGGCAGTTTATTGCATGGGAGGAGATTGCCCATCCTTCTCCAGCGACGCAGCTGGTGGCTTCGAACTGTGTGCCTTCGGGATTACAGCGCAGCTGCTTGACACTAGGCCACCAGAACTCCTTATCTGAAATATACCCTGAGAAAATTAGAACTGAGGCACAAATAGAGATTTGCACACCAGTGTTCATAGCAGTGCTATTCACCATCACAAGAACAAGGATATGGCCCAAATGTCCAACCATAATTGAATATATTGAGAAATTGTGGTACATTCATATGATGAAATACTATCCAGAATGCAGAGGCAATAATTATGAAAATGACTATATAACTTGGGAAGAACTAGAGAGCATCATGCTAAGTGAACTAAGTCAGTCCCATAAGGAAAAATACTGTATAAGACCAGCATTGTAGAAGACAACTAGTAAAACGTGTGTGAGGATCCAAGTGGGTGAGGTAAGGGTAGGAGCAGAGGAGTGAGTGTGGGCAGAGGGCTAATCAAAGGTTGCACAATTCGATGGGTAGAGTGAGAGGTGAGTAAAGGAAATGTGGAAAACCCAATGTGAAAAAACAACGTGTATGAACTTTGGAAGCAGACCGGTATAAAAAAAATTATTAGAAAAACCACAAAACTTCATCGCTGTCATACCCAGCCTTATTCCTAAGAAAAGAAAAGGAAGTACATAGAGTAAGTAGATTGCAGGAAAATAAATAATGAATAAACTTAAGGATTAAACTTCTCACCACTGAAGAACATAGCTCTAGTTTATACCAGATTCATCTCCTAAATGAAAATAGGAAAATATTAGAATAGTAAAATATTTGTAAGCATACATTTAAATTCTGTCAAAACAGTGTTTCAGGAATTAAATACATGACCAAGTAACTCAGCACTATTGTTGTTATGTGCTATCGAGTTGACTCCAGCTCAACTCTGAAGGCAACCCTGCCTGATACTGTGCCAACCCCATAATCTCTGCTGTGTTTAGGCTCATTGCTGGAGCCTTCTTCATTAAGGATCGTCCTCTTTTTCACTGACCTCAGTATAGGTTTAGGGATTTACAGATGACCTTTGTCATATTTATAGACAGAAGAGAATATATAGTACAATTATATTAGTTGTTGTGTTGTTGATTGCCATCGAGTCGAGAATGATGCATAGGGACCCGATGAACAAAAGGCCTGAAACTTTCTATAACTTACTGTCATTTCTCAAAGTTCTTAAGAGTTTCCAGAGGCATGTATGTTGTTCAGGAAGTGGATGCCACTCCTGCTTCCAAATCACATCAGTAGACATTTTAAATTGCTCTTAGTTAAAATTTAAAGTAAGCTGCATCAGTACACACACAGAAGGAAATAAAATCAGAAAATTACCTAATCCTCTAATGTCTTTTGAATTTCAAAGTTTGCCTGTGACTTTAATCTACACACTTTATGCCTCAAAGGCTGAAATATTGTGGACCTTTAACTTCTCTTCTGTGGCCAGAGTCCCATAGAGGATGTGAAACAGGACTGCATCAGGGGAAGTTACTGCTTCCTTTTGCTGTGAGCTTTCATTTTGGTTCACTTAGATCCAAAGTCAACAGCTGAATTGAAAAGTAGCAGTGGGTTGCTAATTAGACTGAAAAAACTTAAAATAGTTCCAACTTTTGGGGGGATTAATAAGAGAGATACTCAAAGTCTTGTGGGTCTTTAAGTGAATTTATTCTTTAAGTATTAAATTTAAGTAGGAAGACCAGATAAAGCAATCTTTTCTGCAGATTACAGAGCTCATGATCACTATAGATTTCACAATCTGAAGACTTTTCTATTTGAAAGATGCTAGCTTAGCTTTTGAGAAAATTCCAGGAAAAACAAAAGCTTTAGTCTGTATTTTCAATCTTTTCTGGTTCTCTACAGTCATAAATGCTGTTACATGCCATTGAGTCAGAACTGACTCATAGCATTGCTGATTTTAGGCAGTTGTAAATATCATGAAACCACTGCCTTTGGGGAGACAGTGCAACTCCTTGCTGCCACTTCAAAGGCAGATGGTTCAAATACACCAGTTGTTCCTCAAGAGAAAGATGGACAGTTTCCTCCTATGTGATTTACAGCCTCTGAAAAACCCACTAGAGTGTCTGCTAGAGTCATATAACAATAGGTAGCACTTTTAAAAGCTAGCACACTGCCATCCACGCACCAGAGGAAGGAGAAGAATCAGAAATTGGAGGAGGAAATAGATTGTTTTTGTTACCTCCAGGAGTTAATACGTCCTCCATTTCCCTTGAAACTAGAAGAATTTGATGATTCTGGTTACTGTTAATGAAAGCTGTTTTTATCAAATATTCTATAGCAAAATTCTGAACTAAAGGGGCAAAATATGTAACAGATTTTCAAATTCTCATGGAATCCAGACCTTGAAGTCTGTATGGTCTTGTTGCTGTTCTGTGACACCTACTTGCATACAACTCATAGCAACCCTATGAACAACAGATTTGAACCCTGCCCAATCATGTGCCATCATCTTTGTTACACTTGAGCCATTGCTGCAGTCACTGGGTGCACACATGCGTGCGTGCATGCGTGCGTGTGTGTGTGTCCATCTCATTGAGGGTAGCTTACTTAGTAAAGAATATATGCCTTGAGTACTATGAGATCAAATTGACAAGGTTAAATGGGATACTTATGGAGTGGTATATATATATGTTAATAAAGAAAGAAATTTTATAAAAGGAAAGTAGAATATTAGCCCAACAGAAGATATAATTATTGTCACAGAGTTGTTTATGTAGACATTGTTGAAATTTTGTGGCTATATACATTTTCATCAAAAAGAAAGAAAACCCCAAGCAAGACAAAGCAGGTAGTCAGTAACTATTCATTAAATTAATAAAGTAAAACTTACATTTCTTAATATTGAAATGAAAATTTTCAAAGTATAACATTTAAGCAAAAAGCCTTTGCTTTTTTATAGGCTATAACTTACGTTCAAGAATACTTTCAATTTTCAAACATTAAATCAAATTATTTCTTACTGTAACACAATACTTTATTTCAAACTAATTTATCAAAAGACCATCTGCAATAAAGTTAATGAAACAATATTGAATAGATCCTTCTCAGGGAAGAGTGAGGGGATATGTCTTCTTTTACAAAAATTTTGCTAGAGTTTGGGAATTGAAGGGCATGCTGACATATATCAATTCCGTTATGGTGAAAATAGAGACATTTTCTTTTTTTAGTATGTAAAAGATTCACTCAAGAACACAGAAATTAATGCTTTTTAATAAACTATAATTTATATAATATGGGATGACTTACTATCTTTTAGTTAATATAGAAAATAAGTTCTAAATTTGTACCAAGAAATAAATTATCAGGAAAACATTTATCCTTAGTCACAGTCAAAATTTAGCCATATTATTCCTCTCTAAGAATATCCAATTTTCTTGGCATGGAGAATAGAAAGGATTACTCTTGTGATATACACCCTTCCTCATCCTTGCAAAATTACTTTGATAAATAACTTGCAGTATTACTTTCACAAATAGTTCCGATTCTGAAATATCAGCGTTTTTATCTTTTCTTTTGAGTGGAAATTAGTATTTTCTCTTTATAGATTTCAAGATGACCGCAAAAGGTACCCGGAAAAAAGAAAATACATAAGAACATCCTCTGAAAGGTAGAAAGCACCATATAGTGTGATTTCCAATTAATGCTAAGATGAACTCTCAATCCATGAGAACTAAGGAGTTTAGTTCATATATATGTATATGTATGTATTTGTGTAATTCGAGTTACTGTAATCTTTGGTACAAAAGCATTGATAAGTGCTTTCCTCTTCTTTTTTCTTTCTCCATTTACTTCTCTTCTTTAGAACCTCTACCTGTAACCAGTGTTTCAATATATGATTATAAACCTTCTCCTGAAACAGGAGTCCTATTTGAGATTCATTATCCAGAAAAATATAACGTTTTCACAAGAGTAAACATAAGCTACTGGGAAGGGAAAGACTTCCGGACGATGCTGTATAAAGGTAAGAGACTAAGAGAGGACCCAATTGGATGACTGGTTCTAACTTGCTAAATGGCTTTTGCAAAATAGTCTTAACTCTTGCTCTAAAGAGGTTTTAGAATTCACAGTTTGACCCATAAATGAAAAATAGTTCTTGATCCTTGGAAATCTTGTTTCTAATCTAAGAGGTATTTAGGACACCTGGCTCATTGGTGATGTTCCATGAATACAGCATGAGAAATACTTTCATTATTATCATGTACATGCTATTCTGGTTAAAGATAGAATGTATGCTGTGCTGCAGGAAATAAATTCAACCTTTCCTAATTCACCTATGTATAGGAACTCTAATGGCCTAGTGGTAGAGAGCTGTGCCAACAATCCAGAGGTAAGTGGTTCAAATCCACCAGTTGCTCTGTGGGCAATCTCTTTCTTCATGACATAAAGTCTCTAAAAACCTACTGGTAGGTCAGCTGTGAGTTGGTCCCAACTCAACAGCACATAATAACAACTAACCCAAACATCTACTGAACCAGTTTCTCCTGGATAAGTTAAAAAGGTATTTCTAGGCCTAGGGTGCTAGAGGAGTGGCCCTCACAAAGTTTCACTGGAGATAGTCCAAGCATTAGTCTCAGTTCAAAAGCCAGTATTTTTGTTTGTTTGGTTTTATGTATGTATTTTGATAGTTCTCATGGAGCTCTGGTGTTTTAGCGGGTAAAGAAAGAGTTGCACAATCAACCCAGGCACCGGCTTCTGTTAAGGTCTTAAAATTTTCTGCTAGAAAATAGAAATTTAACTCAAGTTATACATGATCTCAACAAAGATTCTGACCCTTTAAATTGAATTTCAGGATCCAAACATGCATTCTACCTTACATGAATTTTTTATTACTGACCATGCCAGAAGTTGGAGGAAATATTACCTTATCCACATTTTATCATAATTAATTTCAGAATGTTCCAGAAAGTGTCTGGCACTTAGAAGATTACATTTTTAATATAATTGATTTTTCTCTTTGTAGATTTCTTTAAAGGAAAAACAGTATTCAATCACTGGCTGCCAGGAATATGTTACAGTAATATCACTTTCCAGCTGGTATCTGAGGCAACTTTTAATAAAAGCACTCTAGTGGAGTACAGTGGTGTCAGTCATGAACCTAAACAGCATAGAACTGGTGAGTTTTCTAAGAACTGAATTCAATAAGAATATCGAATACATGTGCAAATACATAGTACCACATAAAGGAATGAGAGACTAATTTTCATTAGAAGTCCATATATGCAGTATCTTTATCCTAGTAGATAAAGGACAGGTAGAAAATGTTACAAGAGACCAGGCAGTATGTCTTCGTATTTTTATAAGAGCATCTTCATTAATTTATAAATCCATTTAATGCTTATATACTCATTTTAGAGAGATGAAGAAGAGGCCACTCCTTTTAACATGTATGCAAATGTCTCTAAAGACAATGTCTTTAGAGACATTTGCATATACAGCTTTCCAAGAAAGTCTCAAGAATACTATCACTGCTTTTTTTGTAACCAAGATCTAGGGACAGAGACTCATTTAAAAATTATAAATAAAGAATATTATTATTAGCTGAATGTTTGCAATTATGTTTCAGAAGTGGATAGACTATAGTTTTGAAAGTATGTCACAAGTTAAGCTTCATCTGACATACTTTGGACATGTTGCAAGGATGGACCAGTCCTTGGAGAGGGACGTCATGCTTGGGAAGGACAGCACAAGAGAGGAAGACCCTCGATGAGATGGATTAATTCAGTGACTGGGGTAATAATGGAGGCAGGAGTGTCGGAAATGGTGAGATTGGCACAGCATAGGGCAGAGTTTAGGGCTGTTGTACACAGGGTCACTATGAGTCGTAAGTGACTCGACACCACATAATGACAACAAAAATAACAATTCATTCAAAGTGTTACTAGTGATACACTTAAAAGTGCACATCCCCAACCCACAAAGCCTTCAATATTTAAACTATAATTATTGTATAATTATAATTATTCTGAAAAATTTAACTATGTAACAGACTCCATATGAACAGAGAAGAGTTGAATAAGATATCAGAAGTAAAATTAAAGTGTGTTTTGCAAATCTACCTGTGTATTTGATCCGTTGTTTACCCTAGAACTAAATGCACTTGTAAATAAAAATTCTCTCTCTTTCCAGCCCCTTATCCACCTCGAAACATTTCAGTGCGTATTGTGAACTTGAACAAAAGTAATTGGGAAGAACAGAGTGGCAGTTTCCCAGAGGAATCATTCTTGAGATCCCAAGACCCATTGGGAAAAGATAAGCTCTTCCATTTTACTGAGGAAACCCCTGAAATACCCTCTGGCAACGTTTCTTCTGGTTGGCCTGATTTTAATAGCAGTGACTATGAAACTACATCTCAACCATACTGGTGGGACAGTGCATCTGCAACTCCTGAAAGCGAAGATGAATTTGTTGGTGTCCTTCTCACCGAATACGAAAATAATAACACACTCGGTGCAACAAAGAAACCCACATCAGGCTTTCTCACTTTTCCCCCTGTTCAAATGATACTGAACTGGTTACCACCAAAGCCACCCACTGCTTTTGATGGGTTTCACATTTACATAGAAAGAGAAGGTAAAGTAATGGCAAATCACAGGGACTGCGACTTGGGGTAATTAAACGAAAGGCAATTGAAAGATTCCTAACTCTGTGTTCAGAAAGTTAATGGTAATCAATTAAAACTTAAGGAAAAATTATAAAGAGATAGAAGAATTTAATTGATTATGCAAAACAGACTAAAAGAGATGAGAATGGGCAGATTAGATAAAAATCAGATGTTTGGTTAATTTATAAATGGCAGGTATTTGCAGCTCTGCTTCTTTCATCTCACATGCATCAGGCCCCAAAGGGACATTTTAAAATTGGAAATATCTAGAATTAAAGGTCTTATCATCAAAAAAATAACAGAATATAGAGAATGTCTCCATTTTCTTATATTCAAATTGGTAAAGCATGCTGAAAATAATCTTTTAGAACTGTAGCCTTCAGCTAGCTAACCTTATTCTCCTTAAGATTTGTTCTTCTGGAATCAGCACCACTCCTGTGGGCTGATTTAAAACAGAGAATGTACATGTTACTTTCACTAAAGCTATTTAATTATATTTCCTAGTCCCGTAGTCAGCATCTGAGCTTAATTTTTAAAAAGATGTATTTTGGCCTACTAAAGGGAGCTCTGGTGACCTAGTGATAAGAAGTTGCACTGTAATCCCAAAGGCACACAGTTCAAGTCTACCAGCTGCTCTGTGGAAGAAAGATGTGCAATCTCTTCCCATTTGATTAACTGCCTCTGAAGTCCCTCCAGAGGGTCAGCTATGGGTCAGTTCTAACTCAACAGTACACAACAACAATTTATTAAAGTCAAGTCATGACATTTAGAAAATGTGTCTCAAATTATATTTTAATTTTTAGTTTGGTGGTTTTTAATAGGTACTTGTCATTTGCCTCATTTTTACAATAACATGTTTCATTTGAAACTTCTAGTAGTGTAGGTGGTCATGGCTGTCAAGATATCAAAATTTAGACTTCAAATGACAGCCTTATTTTCAGGGTAGGGCATTAGGATCTTGTAGTCTTATAAATGGCATATTGTTTACCTGCATTTTATTTAATAGCATGTGATTAAAAAATGTTGTGATTTTCATTAAACTAGATAGAATAGCTATCCGAACTCAAATATCACATAGCATTGAAAACCTTTGCCTTTTCCATTTGAGTTACAAATCTTAACATTTACCTGAAGCTGCTTGTGTAAAACTTATTATGTCGTTTATTTTTCTATTCCTCAATATATTCTTTGGAAAATAGGACTAAAAGATGGGGTTTTTTAACTGCTCTTTTTCTAAGAAGATCCAAGAACTCTTTCATCTGACTGCAGTGTGTTCTTTTGAAGGTGATAGTTATCATCAATTGGTGATAACGATTTCAAATGAAATCATAAACAGCAGGAGATAAACTTTGAAGCAATGCAAAAATCACTATTATTTTTTTTTTTTACTTTTAGAAAAGCTGCTAAAGGCAAAGAGATGAAGGAGCAATATTACAAATGTCATAAATATTTGGAGAAAAATTATTCCTAACCAAAAATAATCCAATATATTTATGGCATTTCTAGATATTTAATCCTATGAAAGAGAAGTTATAAAACACTTAGTAATTTTTTTGTATTCCTCATCTATTGAGACAAGTAGCTCAGCTAATGTCACTTTCACCTTCCACTCTTCTTCTATTTTGTGCATATAAATGTGGTAGGTAACAGTACATAAATAAATACCTTGTATACTCATCTCTAGTTTTAGAAATTTAGGTTGTATATTTTAATTTTATTATTCCAAAATACTATGAAAAACAAATTAGATTCCAGGTCAGACATGCCATAAATAGCATCTTTAGTGTGGAAGTATTCTTGAATTTGGCAAAAGGAAATAAGTAACATAAAAATATGTATCTTTATAAAAGCAATTGACTTCTCTAACGGCAGAGTCCTTTCAGGCGTCCATTCACATGCATTCTCTTCTTTATACATGAACTAGAAAATTTCACTGAGTATTTGACAGTGGATGAAGATGCACATGAATTTGTTGCTGAGCTGAAGGAGCCTGGGAAGTACAAGTTGTCCGTGACCACTTTTAGTTCCTCGGGATCTTGTGAAACTCGAAAGAGTCAGTCAGCAAAGTCACTCAGCTTTTATATCAGTAAGTATCAAAAGAGATTATTTCGCACTTACAGAGGAGCTAAAAACAATGAAACACTTGAGATTAATGACACCTGGGTGAAAATTATTCAGCAAAGCTTAGGGATCCTGAGAATCCGTCAAGGTCAGAAGATGCTGAGTCCCATGAGGCTTTTGACAGCAAAGGAAATAGTTGTGTCTTTGATAGCAGAAAACACATGCAGGGATTGAACTTGAAAACTTTTTGAAATTTCTTTTTTATAATGATGATATGTGAACAATTATTAAACCTTTTCATCATCCAAAGGGCTCAATGTCCCCACTTATATTTTACTCCCATCCACAATTTATTGGGAAGCTATTTTCTCACTGACATTGCTTGTAGCCATCAGGAAGGACTTTTAAAATTGTTTTGAATGGAAAAAAATTCACATATGCAGCAAACTACTGTTTTACAGGGTATTTTAAGAAAAGATACATTCTGGAGGCATGATTGTGCTCCTTTTAAAAAAAATAACTGGAAGATAGATGTTTTTATACAACATTCAGATTTCTTTCTCTCATTAATTTCACGTTCATGGAAATAGTGCCTTTTTAGTATCCCTGACCTATATGTACCTGTCAAGGGGTGTGTATGATAGTGTAGAGTCTAGAATCTACAATTAGTCCCACTAATCTTATCCTGTTGAATCCAAGGATACATATTTGGCCCACATTCAATTACCCTCAGAGTCTAGAACCACAACATGTATCATAGATAATTCTATAATTGGAGTCTAGAGGAAAGCATTGTGTCCCACCACGATACGTATTAAAAGCACATTTAATAATCAAAAATTCTCCTTTGTTCAGCATGCCTTCCAAGAATGAAAACATCAACAAAAAAGTCAAAGGATAAAATAACTAAGTCACAAAAGGGACAAACTTTACAAGAACATAAACATACAATTTAGAAAATATAACTATGATTTGAGGTTATGATGGGAATCGATACCGTGGAGCTGCATGAACATTCGCAGAGTATTGAGCTGTGATGCTCAAAAGGCAAAAATTAGAGTGTAGTTATACACAAGTGGAAATGATAAAACTAGAGAGTCTTATAATCCCAATGTAAAGTGTTAGGCCAGCTTCTGTTTATGCAGTGAAAGGTAATAGCCAAGCAATAGCTGAACCCTTCTGGAGAAGAGTACTGAATACTTCATAGACTGTCAAAAGAATGAACAGGTATGTCTTGGAAAAGCTGTGGCTGGAATACTCTTTAGAGGCAAGGATGACAAAGTTCATCTCTCCTGCTTTGGACATGTTGGCCAGTGTAGGCTATTCCTAGGAAAGGAATATCATGCTTGGAAGAGCAGAGGGTCATTGAAAGAAAGGAAGACTCACAATGAGATGGCCTGAGATGCTGACTGGAGCAATAGGAACAAATGTATGAGGAAGGCACAGGATAGGACAGGATTCGATCTGTTGTTCATAGAGTCACTATGGATTGTATTCAACTTAATGACACCTAACAACAACAGGCTGAACAAGTGAATAGTACATTTATACGTAATATTTTGTTTGGTTTAAGATGACTATTTTTATTGCAAGTCTGAGGCCAAAAATCAGTTGCCAAGTTTATTGGGATTTAAATGTGCCTCTCATTAGCAAAAAGGAACATCAGACAGCAACGGACAAAAATTACTCTAAGAGGTGTTATCCTTTACCTGATTGTCATCTCCAAAGTTAAACACCACCTTTGTTGTGTTTTTCTTGTTGTATACTGCCAAGTTGGAACCAACCCAACTCATAGCTGACCCTACAGCAAGTTTTTAGAGGCAGATAATCACACCAGAAGAGATGACCTATTCTTCTTCAGCAGAGCAGCTGGTGGATTTGAACCACTTGCCTTTGGGATTTTAGTGCAGTCTTATCACAGGGTGACTAGAGTTCCCTAACTACCACTTTTGGTGCCTCTTAAGGGTCAGGCATTGGGCTGTTAACAACTTTAGAAACCTAAGATAACAAAAGAATTCTCAAAAAGTAGAGAAATTGGTTTTGTTGTTGTGTGCTGCTAAGTTGAGGTGCTTGAAAATGCCCCAGGCAACATTCACTTAACAAGCCAAAAATGTCACCTCTGGTTACAAGATTGGAAAATCCCTTAATGCTGTGATAAGTATATTAATAATTGCTTTGCCTGTTTTTCAAGTATGGGAGATATCTGGACATAAAATCATTTAAGAAAGAAAGTTTAGAATTCAATCCTTCCTAGGAGACCCAGGTATTATTAGTTCTGTGACATTGAGTAGGCTGCTTATATCTCTGGGTCCTCATGTCTTCACCCCTAAAATAAGGCCTTGCTTATCTAATCAGTTCTGACAGAGCTCTGGTGCCCTAGTGGTAAGGAGTTATGCTGTACAGCAAAAACCAGGTGATTCAAATCCACCAGCTGCTCCACAGGAGAAAGACAGACAATCTCGTCCTGTACAAGGTACAGCCTCTGAAAACTTGCTGAAGGGTCAGATCTGGGTTAGTTCCAACTCAATACATGTAACAGCAACAGCAGTGGATTATTTCCCCACCTGATAGATGCAGTGACTGGGATGTAGAGAGGCCAGATAATTGGCCCAAAATTGCACCTCTAACAATGATAAAAGCTGAGTCCCAAACCCATTCTCTTATCACCAAATCAATTATCTTCACTTTCTCATCATTCTCCCTGAAAGCTGATACAGGGATTAAAAGCATGGACTTTAGAGCCAGACTTCCTCTATTTGGATCACAGCTCTCTTTAATCTATTTCTGCCTCAATTACCTCATCTGGAAATACGGTCAATAATAGACTTGTTAGGAAAGTGAAAAGATTGAAATATGTAAATTCCTTTATTGCCAGCAGAGCCATTTACTGCCCACCCCACCTCCTTCTATCTGCTCCAGTCTAGGAATATAGTTTTCTTTTTATAAAGTGAGAAATGCCTCTTAAGCAAATAAAAGGAAGTTGCACATTTGCATTTCAGCAGGGAATTTGGGGTAGATAATAATCACCTTGACATTTCTTGGGTGCTTCCTAAGTGTCAGGCACTGTGCTAATAACCACTTTAGAAAGCTAAGAGAACAAAACTAATGGTGGCACTTCTCTGGAGATATTTTATAATGAGGAACCCATTGTGTCCCTCAAATTATCACCCAGGTTTAGCCAGCTTCTATAATTGAGTCTGCCTGTTGCCTGTTTCCTCTTCTACATAGTCACAGCCTGCCTCTTTGAGCCTGCTGGTGCCAAATTTAATAAATTCTTACACGATTGTTAGTAGAGGCTAATTTGAATCTCAAAGTAATTCTTTCTAGAGACCAAAGATTCTAATAGGAAAGCATTAGAAGCGCTGCTGAAATGCCACACTGCCACACCCATTCTTCATTAAAAGAGACATATATTTTCTTGAGTTGAGGATTTACCAGATAAACATGTTAGATGAAGTGGAGGTCTGCTCTCAGTAGAACTGTTTCTGTCTTTGCTACTTCAGTTCTTATAAAGGTCAAGTCAAGGTCATAAAATGAAGGCTGGAACTAGGCAGAGATTCTAAAAGGCTGATGAGTCTGACTGATGCTCCTATATTGGATATCTTTGCAAAGGCCAAGGAAGGCAATATGATTTTTTTTAAAAAAACTAGAATCTTTGCTCTATTAGCTCGGCAGCAAACTTCACCAATGCTTTGATTTAAAATGTGCAGGTCCTTCAGGAGAGTGGATTGAAGAGTTGACTGAGAAGCCTCAGCATGTAAGTGTCCACATTTTAAGCTCAACCACTGCCTTGATGTCCTGGACGTCTTCCCAAGAGAACTACAACAGCACAATTGTGTCTGTGGTGTCACTGACCTGCCAGAAGCAAAAAGAGAGTCAGAGACTTGAAAAGCAGTACTGCACTCAGGTAACGAATCTCAACCCACAGTCACCCCAGGAGACACAATCACACAGGGGCAAGAAATACGGGCAATTGCAAGATGATGGAGTCAAGATGCCCCTAAGCAGGTATTAAAACAGTGTAGCTCATAGTCAGGAGAGAGGTCAGAGTGAATGTAATGCCACTTCCAATTACACTGCCATCCTCCTTCCCTTGGAGGGAACTGCCATCCCCAGGTCTGCTTTACTTCTGCATTCATTCCTTTGTTCTTGTTGTTTTATACTGACAAGTTGGAACAGGATCATAGTTGACCCTCCAGCACCAACCTTTGTGTTGGCAGTGCAATTCCTTACTAGGAAGCCCCCAGAGCTCTAGCTTCTACTGTGTGGCTACATGGCAAAACTGGTTAATGCTCAGCTACTAGTTAAAAGGTTGGAGGTTTGAACCTACTCCAAGCTGGCTTGAATCATAAGCCTAGGGGTCTGTTTCTGAAGAGACACAGCCTTGCAGATAATATGAAACAGTTCCCCTTTGCACAAGCAGGGTCACCACCAGTCAATACCCACTCAGAAGCAGACAAAAACTGTAATAACAATCCATGAGCCAAGAAATTGGAGAAGTTTAGAGCTCTAAAACATTTTTAAATGATTTGCTTTTATTAGAGTTCAAAGTCTAATTAGAAAAAAATTCTCAATGCACATAGTTTCTGCATAGTGTAAAAATAAGACCTAGGCTAAAATGCAAAGATCAAGAGACTTATAAGTTCTTAATAAGAAGATGATGAGCAAGAGTAATGTGAATTGGGGCGGCCGTGGAGAGCTTGGTTGGATTGAATTGTGTCCCAGAAAAAAAGATATTTTGAAGTTTTAATCCCTGTGTCTGAATTTGACCCTGTTTGTAAAAGAGTTCTTTTTATGTTATGTGAATAAGACCATATAGGGCATGGTGGGTCCAAAACACAGTCCGTTCTGAGCGATGCCTTTTTAAAAGAGAAATAAGACATAGACTCACACAGAGGGGAGATGCCATGTGAACATATGTCCACAAGTCAAAGAACGCCAAGGAAGTGGGATGGCAGAAGATGAAAAGGATGAAGATTTTTTTTTTTCTTCTTAGAATGGACAGAGGATAGCGCTGATGATGCCCTAAATTCAGACAGTAAACCCCTGATTTTAAAATGATCTTCTTGGGGTGGTTCTAAAAGTGAAATAAATACTCCGAATTCATCACACTTGACTATTCTATTTTCTCACTTACCACTTGTCGTCTTGCTCCCCTTTCTATCTGTAATAAGTCACCATGATTGTGTACACTGCCTTGTTGATGCACGAGAAGCATGCTAGTATACCTACTTCAACCTATAAACTCCACTGATCACTGTGACTATGTTTGCACCTAGATGAGTCCTCAGGGAGGAATTACAAATAAGGACAAATTAAACCTAAACTCTAAATTTATGAATCTTGAAGTCTGACCTTCCATGTAGGCACATTGCACACATTCATTTGAATTTTATCTCATCAAGTATTTGCTCTTCATGTCAGTGCAGTGCTTAATGTATGAGTTCATGTATGAATGTCTGTGGTAAAGCAAATTTTTGGATACAACCCTTCCAGCAATCATTGTTGTGTATCATCAAGTCGGAACTGACTTTACAGCTAACCCTCTAGCAGGTTTTCAGAGACAGTTTAATTGCACAGGAGGAGAATGCCCATCTTTGCTTCATGGAGCAACTGGTGGATTTGAATTGGGTGCTTTCGGGATTACTGTACCGTTTCTTCATAGTAATTGTAGTGCTTTCAATAATAAGCATATCTTGAACATAAAGAGAGTATATACAAGACTCAATTCTTCAAAGTAAGTGAGCTGTTAGCATTCCCTCTAGAATCACCTACAATCATAGTATCGGATTTAGGAAGCATCTTCTATTTGTATATAAGTATACATAGTGTTGGAACTAAGACCAGGACCTGAGTAACCAAGTTTTCTGACTCCCAAGAAAGTATTTTTATTAGACTGTGTATGCTCCTCCAGAGGAAGGTCCTCCTGACTGCCGATTGGCCAAAGAAGGGACAAAGAGCACAAACTATAGCTATACGTGGTTTATAAGTATGCATTTGCACTGGGATTTGGGACATACTTTGAATTATGAGACTTTGGGCAACATTCTTCACCTCTATAAATCATATGATCTCTAGGTGGCCTAGTGGTAAGGATCTGTGCTCCAGTCCCAAAGGCATGTGGTTCAGATCCACCAGCTGTTCCATGGGAGAAGGATAAGCAATCTCCTCCTGTGCAGTTGACTGCCTCAGAAAACCTGCTGGAAGGTCAGCTATGGGTTGGTTGCAGCAATGATCTGTATTGACACAGCAACTGGGGTTATGAGGTTAGTTGTACTGGAAACAGTGAGACTGGTTCAGGATAGAACAGAGTTCAGAGCTGTTGTGCATTGAGTCGCTATGATTAACAGGCAAATCATCGACGGCACATAACAACAACAATCTGTGGCCAAGTGGTAAGAATCTGTCCTGCAATCCCAAAGATACACAGCTCAAGTTCACCAGCTGCTCTGCAGAAGGGTAAACAATCCCCTCCTGTGCTATTTTTTCCCCCTCTGAAAACCCACTGTAGTGTCAGTAATCAATGGGTTCTGACCTGACAGCTCACAAGAAAACAATGTAACATATCAAACCTATTGTCAGAGAGAGAGAGCTACGTTGGCCTAGTGGACAGAAAGTTATGCTATCAAGCCAAAGGTGGGTGATTTTAATCTGCAGCCCTCAGTCCTGGTTCAAATTGTTTTTCTGTCAAACATTCTTCTAGGTGGTATAGCACTGGTCTGTGCCTTGCTGTACAGAGGTAACATGTGGTTGCTGTGATGCTTAACACTGTGACACTGATGTGCCAAATATGATAATGGTTACCCATAGTGGACGGTGTTTGCTGGAGCTTCCCAATTAAAAGAAGCCTGAAAGCAGGAGTGGCATCCACTTCTGAAGTGGCTTGCCTCTGGAAACTCTATGAAGAGTGCTCAGGCCTTTCGTTCATAGGGTCGCTATGAGTCGTCGACAACAACATTGTCATAAAGTCAATTCTGACTCTTAATGACCCGATTAGACAGAGTAGAAAGGTCTTATGTGGTTTCTAAGGCTGTAAACTTTATGGAAGCAGATGGCTTTTTTTTTTCTCCTATGAAGCAACTGGTGGGATCAAGTCTCCAAACTTTCAGTTAGCAGGTGAGTACTTCAACTATTGTGCCACCAGGACACTTCAATCTATAATATGTTGTTGTTTGTTGTTGTTGTTGTTGTTAGGTGCCAATGAGTCCACTACAACTCATATTGATTATGTCCAATCCAGTTTGGTACCATAAAGATAGTTCTTTTTTTTCTTCTTTTTTCTTGTTGTGTACCCTTGAGTCAAACCTGATTGGCACAGGAAGAGATAGCCTCTCCTTCTCCAGTGGAGCATCTGGTGGATTCGAACTGCATACTTTCATAATGATAGTTCTTCAAAGTATACAATGCTCAAGGAAGATTTTATTGTTTCTTCCTATTGCTTGTTTTAATGAAGGGATATTTGTGTTTTAAGTTTTAAACATTATCTCATACCATTGATTTCAGGGCTCTAGACAGGCCACAGTCCATTAGAATTTAAAACTTTGTTCTGTACTTTTCACTTTTTTGCCCAGGACAATATTATACCATATATGTATTAAAGGAAGTCTAGAAGAATACTCACCAAAACATTGGTGGTGATTGGAGGATAACAGAAAGACTTTCCATTTACGTCAATCACTTTTTTGTTGTGTGAGTGATTTTCATGATGTGCATTTATTAATTTTACCACTTACAGTGGATGCCAAAAAATAAAATTATTTAGCTATATACCACGTACATATTCTTATTCTTGCTAGGAAATGCCCTATCAGACAATGAGAGTTGATAATCTATATTGCTTTCAGAAGAGTTAAAAGTAGAAAACATGGATGAGAAACAATTACATGAAAGAGTATAAATAGGAAAGGAACGGTAAACATGGTGGTAATTTACTAATTCAGTTTAATCTAATTTTGGTCAGAACAATAGAAAAGAAACTTGATATTCAATTACATTTTGGGGGCTTTGATGTTCAATTACCAAAAATTGAGCAGCTTGTTGTTGTTATTGTTATGTGCTGTCGAGTTGCTTGTGACTCATAGCGACCCTATATACAACAGCCCTAAACTCTGCTCTGTCCTCTGCCAATCACACTGCCTCTGACACTCCCATCCCAATTATCCCAGTCACTGAATCAATCCACCTCATAGAGGGCCTTCCCCTCCTGCACTGTCCCTCCACCCTACAAGCATCATGTCCCTCTCCAAGTACCAGTCCCTCTTTACAACATGTCCAAAGTATGTCAGACGTATCTTAGTCTCCAGAGAGACACCATTGCTCTTCAGTCCTCTGGAGAGGTCCCTACAGCAGACTTTCCCATCACAATATGTCTTTTCATTTCCCGGCTACTGGTTCCAAGAGTGTTTAACACCCTGTAGCAAGTGGCTTCAAGTCAGACTCATTTCAGCAAGCAAGGTTGTGTCATCTTCATAAGGAAGGTTTTTGATGAGTTTTCCTCCAATCTTAATGTATTTCTTCATAAAGTCCATCTTCTCAAATACTTTGCTCAGTATACAGATTAAATAGGTGAGGAGAAAGGATACAACTCTGACACATAACTTCCTTTATTTTAAACCATGTCATGTTCCCTTGCTCTTTTTTCACAACAGCCTTTTGTCCTAGGTGTAGGCTTCACATGAGCACAGTCAAGTGTTCTGAAATTCCCATTCTTCTCAACCTTAGCCATAATTTGTTAAGCACAAATAGATATTCTTCTGGTATTCTTCTTTATCAGCAAGAATCTCTCTGACATCAACAATTTTTATCTCTGGTGCCACAGCCTCTTCTAAATCAAGCTTGCATGTCTGGCAATTCTCTATGTACCATTCTAGCCAATTTTGGAACCTTAGACTATTAAATTCTCAATTCTCATGCATGCCAACTTTAACAAATATATATCCTTCATGTATATGTTCTCACTATTCTTTTCTATAGGATATTTATTGCATAAGTGTTGGGGGAAGAAAGAACAGTACACTTGAGCTCATCTAAATGAGAAATATTCTCTATAGCATTTTATAAGGTACACAATCATCTTGCAAAGTACTTCCAGCTTTGTCTCAAACCTCATCATGAAATTGCTCATCTTGTGTGGGCTAGGAGGAGTCACAATGAGAGGCTTTTGGTCCCAGTGCTGAATTGGAACACATGACTTTGGTCATTCCTACCTTCTTTCCTGACGTAGTAAATGAGAGACTTTTACTAGATAATCTATGAGGTCACCTACATCTCTATTATTAGAAATCACTTGCCTAAAGTGGTGAAAGACTAAAGACATTCCTGCACTGATCTTTGTAAGCAATCAGCTGAAGCTATGATTTAGGATGTCAGACTATCCTTTCATTATTGCTAATTTGATTGTGGTTAGAGGCAGTGTCTCTAGTGTGTGTAGTATTGACATTGAGGAGTGATAAGGCAGCTCAGGGGCTTTATTGAATCTAGTCATAGAATTTGAATGTCTTTCAGTCACAAAGGGACAAATGCTATATGGTGCCACTGTTGTAGAATGAGGCTGGCATTGGGGTGGGGGTAAGACTGAGAAAAACTGGATGAAATAT